GTGTGTGTGTGTGTGTGTGTGTGTGTGTGTGTGTGTGTGTGTGTGTGCGCGCGTGCGCGCGTGTGTGTGTGTGTGTGAGAATCAGTTCACCTCTGCACTAGAGGACGGGACCGACCGTCTAAATGAATGGACGGATGAATGGATGAAATAATGAGCTGCTGGTGGGAAATATCTTGACAGACATTCCACCTCCACCCCCAAACACACTAAGCACACACACTATTCATACACCCTTACCCCCAAACCCCAGCTGGAAAACACCACCTCCCAACACACACACACACACACACACACACACACACACACAGTGTCGACTCCCAATGTGCTGTGAAAGAGTTCATTGTCTGCAGGAGCGGTTTTGTCAAAGGCGACACACTAATTGGGACGTCCTAGTACTGATCAACATTTTGCCTCATAACTGCACACACAACTTTCTCACCAAACATTGAAACATGAAGTTCTAGTGAAAAACTAAAAGTTAGGCGTTTCCTTTATTTCTAGAACCCCTCCAGTACCAGTGAGGGCGGAAGCGAGATTTAAAGGACTGAAGGCGGAGGACAGAGAACATGAATTATTTTTGAATGCGGATGACATGCTTTGGCTGTCCTCACACTCTAGGAATGTTTTAGTAATTTTCAAGCAGTACAATCGGATAATTAAGAAGTTTATGATGTTGCATTTGGAAAGGCAAAGCAAGGCCAGGAATGGTTCACACATTAGATGGACACAAATAGAAAAGGGTAGCACATCCCCATTTGAACAAATCAAGACCTTTTCACGTCACGCTGTGGGTAGACGAGAGTACCGCAATACAGCAGCTCTCCAGAGAAGTGTGGCCTGAACAATAGGAAGGATATCCCAAATACAGACGCACCATGCGATGACGTTTTTTATGAATAACTAAACTGTGACTTTATGACATACTGTACTGTGATTTCTTTATCACATATTGGTGATATTTGTTTGTTTAAACGGACCTTTTAAAGACATGATATACTGTGACTTTTTAAAATGACCTTTTTATGACATGCTTAACTATGACTGTTTAATGTTTTATAAGACATATTATAATTATTATATTTGTTTATATTTCATGGCTTTTATTACATACTATGCTATGAATTTAAAGTTTTACAAAAGTCATCGTATAGTATGTCAGAAAAACACTTAGTATAAGTCATCAAAAAGTCATCGTAGTGCATACTATACTATGACTTTTCATTACACACTATGCAATTACTTTATGTTTTAATGACAAACTAATATATTCCTTTTTTTAATACTTTTTATGGCATACTATGCTATGACTTTTTTTGAATTACTAACTTTACTATGACTTTTTTGTACTTTTTATGACATTTTTATGGCGTAGTAACAAACCTGTCTGGTTTTGTGTTGTTGGCTAAAACAAGACGTGAAGACGTCGCCTGAAATCTTTCACTATTGACTGATTTTTTTTCTTCTCAACAAAACGATTAATCGGTTTCAGAAGTCATGATCAGATTAATTCACAGTCCGATCCAATCATGTCAGTTAGTATTGTCCGATATAATTGCAGTGTATCAGACCACCGCATTACCATTTTCAGAATCACCTCGTCTGATCTCAAATGACTAAATATACACAGCTGTCACATTCATGTAAACAGTGTTGATTACTTAACACAAAGTCCAGTGATATAAAAAAGAAAATCTCTTTGTGGATCCAGCGCTCCTTCAATATTTACAACATTTGGTTTGTATCAGCCAGGAGTTTAAGTTCCTCTCACTTAGTTTGTCAATATTGTGTATGTGTGTGTGTGTGTGTGTGTGTTGCAGGCTGCAGCAGTTGGACCGTCACTGTCAGAGCAGTGCCCAGCAGGTGTATGAGCTGCTGGCCAAACAAAACCAGCTGATGCAGGAGAGAAACACACTCAGTGAGGAGATGCAAAGCCTACACATGGAGGTACACAGACAGAGCAGAGTGTGACTCACTGTTTTCTTTCTAAAGGGATGTGTGATGGTGTCGATCTATACCTCTAGGTGCACATTATCGTCATCAGTTTACTAGAATAATACCAGTGAGAAGATGTTTGTCCCGTTATGACTAATGATCTGATCTGGTCATTAACAACACGTCTATATTCTGTTCATATCCAGTCATTATCAGAGATATTGTGTGTGTGTCTCATTGAATGTGTGTTTGTGTCTTTCTAGAGACGAGTCAATACTGTGTCCACATGAGTCTGTCCTGCCGGTTTCCTCCGTCTGTCTGTTTGGATCTGGATCTGAAGTCGGAAATCTTTTGTTGACAAGAACACATCAAATTGTTTTTTTTGTGTTGTTTTTTTTACCCAGGGGGACAAGTGTGTTCATCATTTTAGTATTAAGGTACACTGTATACACTTCATGTTTACTTAACAGAAAACCAGGTTTCCATTTTATTTATTACTATATTGGCGATAGACTGTTACTGTGATGTGTTGAATGTTTAGATGAACTGGGATGTTGTGTTCGGCTTGCTTTTATAAAATGAGCTTTTGGGACATGCTATTATCATTTTAATAAAATTTTGTTTAAAAAAAAATTGTTAATCCTTAATGCTGAGATATATTTCTGGTTTCTTTCTTAATATTTCCACTAAATTGAAAGTTTAGAAGATAAATAGTATTTTTTTAGCCACACAGCAAATACAAAGTCGACACCATCGCAGCAGATTGACATAGTGCTTTATTGAAGCCGTCTGTAAGATTGAAAATAATGTGCATCCCTATCATATACATTGTGTAAAAATACTAAGGATGTACAGTGTAAAAAACAGCTTCATGTTGATGGTAATTTGTTGTTTTCACATCCTCGAGGCCTCGCTGGCCAACAGCACTGCATCCTGACAGCATGAGGGACAGAAAAAGGCCGTTTGATCGATCTGCTGAGTTTCCTCACACCGTCTCAGATTCGATATCGGCTCTGCTCCGCTGACACGTCAGAGAGGAGAGCTGAAGTCAGTGTAACAGTGCTTCAGCGAAACATGGCCCACTCTGAGAACAGCTGGCAGCCGTCCACAAACATCTCACACAGCTGTAAAGCTACAGTAGATGGACATGAAATTGACTCAATTACACTTTGTATTATTTGTACATGTTTGCCGTTTTTTGTTTGCCGTTTATAAATAAATGCACCTCATGCTTGTTCATGTTAATAATCACGACGATAGTAGTCTAGTACTAGAGAAGGAGAGGGGAGCAATTCTGTTGCAGACACTGAGGTCAAATACTTTCAGAAATCCTTCCAAACACTGGAGCCATTTACTTATTATCTGCATTAAACGCCGGCTGAATGAGGTTTGTGATTTTTGGCCGACGCCGACGGTTCATTAACAGGCAAGATCAATAGAGAGCAGCCGAGGTCTTTGAAAGGATTTTTACATATTCAAATATGATTGGAGTCGGATGTGTTGTGTGATAGATGTACAGTACAAACAGCAGCAGCTTTAAAAGTGAACACTGCCGGTGCAGCGTCACATATCTCTCATACTGTCGGTTCACACCAGTCGAGGGCACCAGTAAAGCTGTGAGGAGGCTTAAAGCATCCAGTTAAAGAAATCACTGACATGTTCATTCATAGTCTTTCAGGGGAACCCACATCGATGAGAAGAATTACTAAGTTCCAGCTTCTCCACTGACAGTATTTGAAGGAAAACATGTATTACTTATATGATCTCTGACCTTAGAATCAGCATCTGGCAGCTGCCAGTAAATTAACTTCAACGTGTAAAGGAGGATTTAACGAGGAGAGTCAGAGACCCAAGGGAGGGAAAAGTTTTTTAAAACGAGGAGGAGGAGTCGGTGACATCAGTAGATATTTCTGAACATTTTAGTTCATGAAGACTGACCGAGTTACTGAACATTTCCACTGATTCTGCAGCGGCAGCACTGACTCGTCTCTGGCATGTGGGACACAATCACCGAGGTCTCGCCAACCGAAGACATCAGAGCAACATCAAAGCTATCGGTCGTATGTGGAGGGAAGATGCGCTTTAAAAATCATTTTCTTTTTTAAAGAAAAAGGAAGCTACAAACCTTCCTTTAAAGCAGGGTTTAATCAGAATCCTCTGGATCATATTAAAAAATTGCGCGTGTGAAAGTGCTGCGGCCAAAGCCATCAAGTAGTTTCTTTTATGAACTCTGGTTTCTAATGATTTTGGCGGGAAGCGAGCACATATAGCTAGAACTCCTCAGTTGCTCGCAGACCTGGGTCAAATCAAAGCTTTCCAAATACTTGTGAGCGTTGGCTTGAGCCTGTCCAGGGTGCCAGCTGGGTGGGAATTGTACTCATTTTGAACTATTCGGCTGCTTCAGCTTTGCCAGACAGGCTCAATCGATCACAGAGAAGTATTTTTCATAAGAGTTCTGAGTGCCACTTTGACTCGGGACTGGTTAGTGCGGACAGAGGACGACGGCGTACAGGCCAGCGCCATCCTTTTCTACTTCCTGCCATAAAGCGCCTTTGCCAGCGAATAGCAATTTAATGGATGTGCAAGAGTAAAGCATGTGGACTTAAGAGCAGCGGAGAAACAGGTAATTTGTCGTATAAGAAATATTTTTAAAGAAAAGCAAAAGGATTTATTTTTAGAACAAAATATCTAAAGACTTAAACTGCAGAGTGAAACACGACTACACCCCCTTACTGCTGAACTCCAAAACAAAATTACATCGAATAAAATAAATAGAAAATAAATTCAAGTTATCCATCAATGGTGAAAACATTCAAATAAATATTGGAATACAACTTCCTACGTCTAATCCGAGCACATCCCCTGGTGCTCTCTTTGAATCGGTGTCATCCAAATATTAAAGGTGACATGATATTTGACATGTTGTTCTTTTAGGATGCAGTTGAAATTTCACATTTTAAAAAATATATTTCCTCACATCTGGTGATTTTGTCTCGTCTGAGGTGCTGGATGTATTCTGATTTAAAGCATAAGGCTTCCTGGTGTTTGAAGACAGAGAGATTGAGGGGATTTTAAATCGTGTTGGTCAGACTGGAAGACATGACTACAAATAAACAAACAAAGTCCAGACCAGAGAAATGACGGTGCTCATTAAAGACAGAGTGTCTGACCTTACAATCTCCCATTTCATAACCAACCATTATTCCTCTCTCTCCTCTTTTCTGACTTGACACACTTACAGTAAAAAGTAGCTCTTACGATTCAGTACCGACTCTTTTCCAATCTTACCACTTAACATTTAGCTTTCTTTCTGCTCAACTTCCACTTCGTCTTTCTGAACTCTGTCTGAGCCTTCACCAACACACACCTGTGACCAGATGAAATACGGGGAACGTTTGTGTCAATAACCAATCAAGTGAGACGAGCCCTCACAAACACCTGTGGGATGATTTGGATAAAGTTGAAGAAGAAGAGGGGATTATATAAATATATTTGTTGACCTTCTTTTAGCTCACAGTACACTACCATCTGTCTTTAATGCGTCCCGTCACCTCTCGGCGGTCACATTTTGGTCACAAAATAACACAAAAACAACATTAAATAAACAATGGAGCAGGAATGCTATCTGCTTTCCCTCCTACATTCTTCAGCCATTTTTGTTTCTTGAGGGGGCTTTTTTCTTTTCCTTCTCTCAGCCCTAAGAAATAGGTTTTTTTCTAGAATAATGTAATAACAATAGAAAAAGTTAAATATAAAACTGATGAGTAGAACAATAAATAGAACATATATATATTATAGCCATTGCTGTGATTTGTGTAAACCCATAACTGTCGATGCGTACCTCCTGGTAGACCATAATGTATTTTTTAATAAAAACCCTTCATAACAATCTCATGAAACAGGAAGTCAGCCGTTACCTCAGTCATCAATACGTCATAAATTATATCATAATAAATTTGTCATCATTCTTGGAGCTTTTTTCTGTACTCACTCTCTATCGTCATCAACAATGCCCAACCTGCCATCTTGGACTTGTGTTTTCACTCTGTGGTGAATCTGTTCCTGCTGCAGTTTCACTTTCCTGCACAAAGACAGAGAGGTACAGCCGTGTGGTTCCCGAAGACGTGACGACGACATGTCACAGTAAAGCGCATTGTTTCACTTTTGTGTTCCCTTTTGGGACAGAAGAGAATTAAACTCAGAGGGACTGAAGGTTGGGGAAGGGGGGGGGGGCATTCAAACCAACTGCTTTCCTCTCATCTTCACCTCCTTGTGATGGTTATATCAACCAACTCGCACTGCATTGTGGGTAATGTAGTAAAGCTCATTGTTCTGGAGCTTCATCCTTCTGAACTGCTGTGCTTTGAGGTGCGCTCTTAAACACAAACCCATAATAGGACCACACACCCACCCACACACACACACCCACACACACACACACACACACACTATCCTTTCAGTCGTCTTAAATCAACAGATTTGATGTGTAATAGCAGTACATTAGGAGTAAAAGTAACACCTGTTCTGCAGCTGTACAAGCATAGACGTTAATACAGGTGGTTGATGTGTTGCTGGCGCCTGTATAATGATCTGCAGCATTAAGCTAATAGTGTAGCACCGGGTTTTAATAGTAGAAATATAGTAGTAGTAGTAGTAGTAGTACCTGTAGTAGTAGTTGAAATAGCAGCAACAACAATAATGAATTGCACTGAGGAAAACCTGAGTCAGATCCTACTCGACAACATGAGCTGTGTAGGATTCTGCTCACTGGTGACAACTGCTCCCTCAATGCCAGGCAGCCTCAATCCATCCCAGAATTATTTAGAGAGGATTTGAAATCAGACCCGAGTGCCTCTCTGATATCTGAGAGCATCCGTCTGTTTGCAAAAGCCTGAGATACAACCGGTACCGGCAGTTTAGGTTTGAATGACTTAAATGCTATATCGCCATCTCACAGATAAAAAGCCACAAAAAGAATTCCTAATGCATCAGCTGTTGTCTCACTGGTTCACAGGCAGGACCGACACATGTCAAAGCACAGCAGGCCACCGGTGATGCTCCTGTCTATAAAGGGACATTACATAGTAACTGATCACATCACAGTTTCGGATCACCTCGGGTTGCAGCGCAGGATTATAAAGTAATTTTACCTGGAAGTTCTCTCTAAAAAGGGATTCACAAAATTTAAATAAATAGAGAAGCAGACTGCAGAGGTGAAAAAGAGATGAGGAAGAGGAGGAGAGAAGGGCAAAATCCTTCAAGTCTTTCTGGGGAGGGCCAAAGCTGTGGGTCTTTTTTGTCCCACATTGATGACCTCAGAGACCAGCTGTGATGATGTCACCGTGATGGACAGGTCATTCCCGGCCACTGGCAGAGTAGGAGAACTGTGGGAAGTGCGGTCTTCTCTCATTATCCAGACAGTCCATCCCGTCCTCGTCGACTAAAGAAACGCGTGGATTCAGAAGTAATTAATGACATTATTAATTACACTTAAAAGTAGTTATTCAGTTAAAATGAAGACATACGATTCAAATAGGAAACACATTTCCAGGTTGATTTTATCTCAAAGTACAATCAAACCTTAAAGCATTGTGTTTGGGAAGTTGTTGTACTGTAGATTTAAACGGAACGAGATTCAATTAACAAGTGTGTCTTTAATCTCCGGCTCACTAATTGATGTGCGACCTACAGAACAAGTAGGGCCTCACATTAGTGCAGAGAAACGCGTCGGTTACACTCATGCATAATTCAGTGTTCAACATTTAGAAACTGGTGTCTTTATTTCAAAAGGCTGTGAAGCGCTGCAAGTGGCCTGAGGACTATTACAGAGACACTTGAATAAACAACAGCACTTTTCGAGTGTTTGTTACCCCAGTTATTTCAAGTTGAATATCTCACCTAAAGAAAGAACGCGAGCACTTGATGAATTGCTTAAAACGGTAATTATTAAAGTAATCAAAGTGAAAAAAAGAGAAAAAAGCTGATTTTAATCATTATCAGGTGCAAATGAATCTACTGAATTTATTAAAATAAAACAATTTTATTAACAATATTCATGATCCTCTGCAGAAATAATTCCACGTATATTAACTCCAACACATACATTGTTTGGTGGGATGTGGCTATTTTCACTGTAACATGTCATATTTACCCAACACTAAACACAAACACGCTTCAAACCAGAGCCTTTACTTCTTTTGTCACCATGTTTATTTCTATATTTTTCTCTCCACTGAGAATATCGTCGGCAATGTAAAAAATGAAAGTGAGATTTCCCTGGGTTTTAATGTGGGCATATGTTTGTACGTAGACGTGTGAGAAAGAGTGAGAAACAGTAAACACTCACATTTCTCTGGTGGAGTGATTGTGATGGTCTGGGCTGTAAACTCCTCATCAAAGTATCTGGTGTCTGTCTCCGACGTCACCTGAGGCTTGAAGGGAGGGACCATCTGGGGCGGAGACGTGAGGACGACACAAAGAGGAAAGATTACATTGTACAATAAACACTTTCGAACAACAGAGCAAAAAGACACCAAACTCTGGATGTCACAAAACTTCCTGGAGTTGGGGCACCCCATTGGACCAATGGTTATGTAGCATATACCACATAAATGCAACATCAAAGTATGTATGTCACAAAACAGTCATGAAAAGTCTTAGCATACAAAATGTCAGAGTATAGTATGTCATGAAAAGTCATAAAAATGTCATAGTTTAGTGTGTCATAAAAACTCGTAAAAAATGTCATAGTTTAGTGTGTCATAAAAACTCGTAAAAAATGTCATAGTTTAGTGTGTCATAAAAAGTCAAAAAATGTCATAATATAGTATGTCAAAAAAATGGAATAGAAAAAATAGTATAGAAAGCCATACAAATGACATAAAACGTCATAGTAATATACGTCATAAAAAAGTCAAAGTATAGTATGTCATAACAAATGTCATTAAAAAGTCATTAAAAAAACACCATAGTATGCCTACAAAGTCATAAAGAAGTCATACTATAGTTTGTCATGATAAATGCCACAATATGTGATAAAAAAGTAATAAGTCATAGCATAGTATGCCATTTCTCTGCCAACCAGTCAAGTTGTATTTCACATTCATGTCCGTCCAAAATGTCCTCATTTTATCATTTCATCCAATTAGACATTTTTTATCAAAAGAGGCATAAAACTGTGATGTGTGCTTCAAGTGAATATGTATCGCATTTATGTTTTAACTTTTGTTTTGTTTTACCACAAGGAAAGGAAATGACGGGAGGAGACAGGAGAGAGGAAAGGAAGGGAAAGAAAGGAGGACAGAACCTGATTCTTACTCGGTGGTGTTATACAAAGAAACATACCGTAGACATCCAGGATGAAGGTCACGCATCATAATAGGGATTTAAATGACTACTGCTTTATGGCGATCATCATATCCTGTCATGCTTTATGAGACCGTATGAAACAATGGCACAGTACACAGTGTAAACTTATTTTTACCATAATGTTGCTTCATACCTTTTTATCATATACATCCTGCCAGTCGACGCCAGAGAAGAAACTGTGTCTCATTATTTCTTTTGCATCATCTGGTCCTCCACCAAGCCTAGTGAACAGCAAAGTAATGTTAAAATAAAACAAACTGAGATAAGTAGATGCAACAACCTCACTTATAACAATAAAAGTGGGAAAAACTCCCGCATGCATTTACTCCTGAGTTCATCTGTTCACATCTCTACATTTTTACACACCGTCACATTCACTAAAGCCACATGCGAACCTTTTGTTGGGGTCTTTGATGAGCAGGCCTGACAGCAGGGACTTGGCATCAGATGACAGAGTGCGCGGGAACTTGATGTCTTCCATGAGGATGAGCTCAAACAGCTTCTCGTGGTCCTGGTTGTAGAACGGCAGTCGGCCGCACATCATCTCATACGTCACCACACCCAAACCCCACCAGTCCACCGCCCGACCGTAGTCATTGTCCTCCAGGACCTGAAGAGTGTCGAGAGAGACAGATACACAATGTTTGCTTTTTTTTATTTTATAAACAGGACCATTTGTTTTATGGACATCTGCTTTTATTCTGCATTTCTGCATTTATTTTATTGGACAAGAAAGACTGCCCAAGGTATTCAATGAAGAGGCAGATGAGCGAGGAAAGACAGCAAAGGAGAGTCAATATGCCATTTTGCTCAAGGGACAAATAATAAAAAATAAAAATAAAAAAAAAGTTGTCTGAGAAGAACAGAAGTGGTAGCACAGATAACACGGGCTGAGGTGTAAGCCCCCCTCTCTCAATACACGGACACACACATACAGAGGAAAACATCATGGGATGGCAGGTCTTCAGAGGCCCCTGTTACAGTAAGGGAGTTAGTGAGCTGGCATGGCCCACCAGATGCCCCCTCGGGTCCCTGCCAGCTCTCCCTGGCACACTGATCCTTCTCCTGGCAGGGACAGAGAGGAACGTCCCTGGATGGAAAAGGCAGGAACAGCCCGCAACATGGGTCAGGGCCAGCCCGACCTCCAAGCTGGCTAGCACAGGTACTGTACTGTAAGCTGCTGTGTTGTGTGAGTGTGTGTGAGAAAGTGTGAGAGTGAGAGTGTGTGTGTGTGTGTGTGTGTGAGAGAGTGAGAGTGAGAGTGTGTGTGTGTGTGTGTGTGGTTGGGAAAGAGCTTCTGTGAAAGAAGTCACTCCCGTATCAAAGTCTTGTGTCTGGGCTGCCTTCCTGCTCTTATTCCCTGCCTGCTCTCCTTGCGCTGTCCTCTCCATCCCGTCTTATCCTGCCTCCTCAGTCCTCTAATCATGTCTTCCCTTGCTTGTTCCTTCTCTTTCATCCACTCGTGCGCCTGTTCGCTCACCTCTGGAAGAGCGAGAAAGAGGAAGGAAGAGGAAAAGGGAGGCAGACGCAGGAAGAGATGTATTTCAGGTGCTTTTGAGGCCTTAATTAACATAATAAGCTCTTTAGCATATGAGTGTGTATGCATGAGAGTGTGCATGTGTGAGAGAGACAGACAGACAGACATAGCTGGAGAGCAGCCAGAACAGCATATGTTATACATCTCGCCAATAATAACAACATCTCACTCACTGTTAATAATGGATCAGGCAGGGTGGACGCTCAAATACACAGGCAAGGGCACAAATACATGAATGCAAACATGTTTCTGTGAGTACAGTATGCTTTTGCATGTTTGGACTATTACAAAATTGCATTTCAAAACTATACAGCAAACGTCATAATATCAAAGGATTTTTTTTTTTATAAATACACTGACTAATATCTGTCATTACCAGAAGCGAGATTGATGACACAAACTAAGAAAAACACAGAAGCATACTGATCATTTTTAATTAAATTTTTTTAAATTTATTATACTATATTGATCCCTTTAAGGGGGAAATTTGTCCCATCCCTGTATATAGGGAGCAGTGGGCTGCCAATGACAGGCGCCCGGGGAGCCTGGGGTTCAGTGTATTGCTCAGGTACACTTTGACACGTGACCCGTCCCAATCGAGGACCGTTGACCTTCCGTATCCTAATGTATCCTAATATTGAAGTACTTGTGCTCCAAGCTGACATACCCTTTGAAGCTTTGAACCTCAGATTTTAGGCACATGAACATTTCAATCGTATCAAAAGATGACATGGTTTGAGTTTATAAAATCTTTAGCTTTGGATTAAAAACTGCCAGTTTTATGGAGGTGAATACCCATGAGCGTGATTTTTCTGAATTAATCTATATGACGCCACTTCTAATAAATACATATCATATAATCAAAGTGATACCATCAGCAATCAGATGATTCGTAATTGCTTTTTGGGCACTTATTTAATGTTATGTTGATATTGCAGATCAGCAATACTGCTGGTTAAAGCCCACAATTCGGTGAGAGATTTGTTGTAATTCACAATCGCCACAGGTGCAGGTGAGGTTCTGTTGTACAAGCCCAGCTGTAGATTATGCTAAATGTCATTGTGCAATGAGACCAGCTAAGAGAAAACACCAAACAGCTGCCTGCGAGTTTCCACAGCAGCTCAATGCTACGGAAAGCTGGTCATTAACTGACTGAGCTCACACACTCGACACTAAACTGCTAATGATGCAGGCGGCTGCTTCAGTGTGTGCAAGTCAACATGTGCCGGGAAGTGCATAAAAGAGGTATGAGTGAGTGCGTGTGTGTGTGTTTTTGTGTGTGCATTACGCTGGTCACCCTGT